AAATTCATTTCAATGTCTGTTGTTAATTTGGAACACTGAAGGTCAAAGATTCCTAGCAACACAGAAACTCTCCAGGGCTCTGAAACCAGACCACCTGGGTTCGAACCCGAGTTTTACCGGTTATGGGCTGGGTGACCTGGGCTAATGGATCACTTCAACATTGTTCATGCCTGCAAACTGGGGTTAACAGTTTCCACGTCATGGGCTTGTTAAGATTAAACGAGATAGGAATGAAGCATTCAGATCAGTGCCTCGCACTGAGAAAATTAGATTATTACAGAGGCAATAATAGGACACCTTCTATTCAAGTTATTTTACTCACGGCACCTCTTTGAAGTTTTACAAGCCTGTGGAGTAGGTGCTTACCATGGCTAACGGCCATTCTCATACAGATTTAAAAAGCCCGGGCTCGGAAGGAATGAAGGAGGGTTAGGGGTGGACTGGGATAAAGGGATAGAGAGGAGTAGCCGACACGGGAGGGAGGTGGGGTGGTGAGCAGATGGAAAGGAGGTGAGAGGATGGGAGGGCAAAGGAGGGGTGGGGAGTAGGAAAGGCTCAAATGCAGGTCTTAGGACTCCGAATCTCCAGCTTTTCTCATATTGCATCCCTCGGTGCAGGCCCTGCTGATCCAGCCCACGAACCACCATGATCTCCCCTCTCCCCTCACTCCCTGGCACCGCCGTCATCCCATGATTCCTGCTTCGGAAACACCCTTTCCATCGTCAGCACGGGCAACGCGCAGGCCCACGCTTCCTCTACCTTGTTCCCCGACCGCGCCATGTTGCCGCTCCGCAGGCGCCCCGGTTGCCTCTTCCGGGCGGGAACCTGCAGCGCCGCAACTCGGTTCCCGCGGACTCGGAACCAGGTGAACCGGAAGAGCGGCTGGGAGACCGGGAGACTGGGCGAGGCGGGGACGCCGTGCGCCGACCTCCGAGCATGCGCAGATTCCTTGGGTGCCGCCCTGCTGCGGAGGCGCTTGCGGTCATTGAGTTGCCCAAGTGTCTAAATACAAACCACTTATCCGAAAGATTCATTTATTCAAACTCAAGGAGTTCTTTGAAAACTCAAATATTATTTTTTAAACTTTTTATATGACCCATAAGTAGAATGACTGAAGACCCACCACAGTGAAGGAAATGTGCACGCTTTATGTCCATAATTTTATCTTCTCTATAGTCTCTCCTTTCTGTTTGTCTCCTTCTCTCTCCTTCCTTCCTCTTTTCTCTCCCCCTTCCCCTACCTCACACCCACACACCTTCCAGTACAGATTTGTTTCCTGGGAGAAATCAGAGATTCTAGTACCTGTGTTAGTTTGCATCTTCGCCATCCTTAGAAACGTCTTTAGAATCACCCACTTCCAGGCGGCGAGGCAGTTGCGGTGCTGAGAATGGATATGGACGTTAAGCACTGCTTTCACTGGCAAAGGCCTCCCTTAACAAGCGCGAAGAGGCAGATATTACTCATGTAATTATATACATAATCTGTTTAGATTTGTATGCTATGTAATTGGGTGGAAAGAGGGAGGACAAGAGGTTGATGGGCTATGGCTGGTAGAGGAAAAAAGGACGTTTTTGAAGAGAGATGCATGAGAGCTACAGTCACAAATGAGGAAAATGGATGCAAGGAGAATGACAATGTTATTTGGGTGCCCCTCATCAGCCATGCCTCCCAATTTGGTTAAGTTTTCCTTCTACTAGTCTAGGCATTTAGGTACCTTCTTAGAGCCCGTTTGAAATGATTTTCATTTGCAAGCCTATTTCTTCCACTAGATGGCAATCCCAACTAGGGTGGGGGCCATGTCAGCTTCATCTAGGTGTGTCCCTTGGGCCTCATCCTCACTCCACTCTCCTCCATTAAACTATGGCCTCCTTACCCTTGCCCTAATTATAACTATTTTTGGCCTTGGCCATTGATTTCCCTAACCCCAGAAAAGTCTGGCAAAAGTGTTTGCAACTTCCTAATATATGCTTAAGTAAATATGTGTCTGTGGAAACAGTCCACCTAAACAAAACCTCCATAAACCCCTGGACCTGCTGGGGTTGGACCCCAGCAATAGAGCACCTGAATTAATCTGAAAAATAATCGTATTATTTTAAATCTTAGAACACATATACTTATGGGGTTAAGTTTCTCATATGTGAATAGGGGGTTAAGTTTTTCTTAAGTTTCCTTTTCAAGGCCTGTGTGAAACAATTGAGGAGGTGACTCAGCTGTGAATCCAGCAAGCAGAACTGATAAGCATGGTCAGACCGACACACCAGAAGTCAAAACACATCTCATCAACATCATCTCATCGCCTGATGACTAAAGGACAATAGCTGATGTCCATTTCCAGCCTCACCCTAGCCCTATTCCCCTTTATAATCCTGTCCCTTGCACCTTGCAGTAAAACAGGATTTGAATGCTTGTAAGTACCCTGTCTTCTTGGTTGGCTGGCCTCCTCCATAAACGCCTTATATGATTCAACCTTGCTTTCGTTATTGGACACAGCGACAGGCAGCCCGAGTTCAACTAATAACAGTACATGGAAAGAGTACTATTCATAAGGATTCAGATTAAGATTATTATATATACTAGAGGCCCGGTGCACGAAATTTGTGCACGAGCAGGGGGGGGATCCCTCAGCCCAGCCTGTAGCCTCTCCAATCCAGGACCCCTCAGGGGATGCCCGACTGCCTCTCACAATCTGGGACCACTAGCTCCTAACCACTTGCCTGTCTGCCTGCCTGATGGCTCCTAACCCCTCTGCCTGCCTGCCTAATCACCCCTAATCACCTCTGCCTGCCTAATCACCCCTAATCACCTCTGCCTGCCTGATCACCCCTAACCACCTCTGCCTGCCTGCCTGCCTGATCGCCCCTAACCACCTGTGCCTCGCCCTGCACCCAGGACCTGGGCTTCCCTCCCTCTGGCCGGCCGCAGGCACCCAGGACCTGGGCCGGCTTCGCCCAGGCCACAGCCACAGGTGTCCGGGACCATGGGGCAGGCGGCTTGTCCCTCTTCCAGGCTGCAGCCTGGCTGGTCCCCATTCCTCTCTTGCCAGCTCATGTGTGCCTGGCTGGTCCCCATTCCTCTCTCCCCGGTGTTGAGTGTCTGAGCAATTAAGGCATGAAGGCATGAGGGCATGATGATGTGAGGGTGTGACAACCACTTGCATATTAGCTCTTTATTATATAGGATACTAGAGGCCTGGTGCACAAAACTCGTGCATGGGTAGGGTCCCTAGGCCTGGCCTGCAATCAGGGCCAATCTTCCCCAGCTGCCAGCAGCTGGCCCCACCCCCCATCACTGCTGGTCACCAGTTGCCCTCTGTGTGTGGGGGGCGACTGACAGGGTGATCGGGGCCCGGGGGCCACCTGCACCTGCCACCACCCACCCCCAGTTCCCTGTTCCCCAACGGGCGATCAGAGCCTGCGGGCTCGGGGCAGCTCCTGCATTGAGTGTCTGCCTCTTGGTAGTCAGTGTGCATCATAGCCGACCTTGTTTCACTGTCAGGTCAATTTGCATATTACACTTTTATATATATAGACTAGAGGCCAGGTGCACGAATAAGTGCATTGGTGGGGTCCCTCGGCCTGGCCAGCGATTGGGGCCAATCAGGGCCATCTCTCCCAGTCTGGGGGAGGGACCGCAGGAGGTTGGCTGTGGGAGCACACTGACCACCACAGGGCAGCTCCTGTGTCAAGCATCTGCCTCCTGGTGGTCAGTGCATGTCATAGTGACCTGTTAACCAGTCTTAACAGTTGCTTAGGCTTTTATATAGAGAGATAGAACAGCCACCATAGTTACTCTTTTTCTGCAAATTGTTGCTCTCAAAGCAGTTTGGGAGAAACTCAGAAACAAAGTGAGCACATTTTATTTATATTTTATTTTGTTTTCATTTCAATTGTTTACATCTCTGCAAAAGTGAAACTGAGGAAACAACCCACAAGCTCAGTTGCCTGCCACCATGAAAGCCAATACTCATGAGAGAGGTACGGTAAATAAGGAAAGAGGTTTATTCAGGTGCCAGCGACCTGAGAAGATGGTGGACTCTTGTCCTTAAAAACAATCGTAGCATCTCAGTGCAGGAAGGGGTTTTTATAAGGAGGGAAAGGAAAACAGAACAAAAAGATTAAGGGGAGGAGTTTGAAAAGTTTTTTACGTGCAGACCAGCATAGTCCATTCCGTTAAGAATCTTAAAACTGGTCAAGTGATGGTCTGGGTGCATCATCCTGGTTTTACAATTGAAGATCAGCAAATATTCTGGAGCTGGAATCCCTGAAGGTCAGAGTCATCCCTCATTGTATGTCAGCAGACATCCTCAGTTTTATTGCAGCATTAGCATTCCTTACACCCAAAATAGGCTGTTCCAGTGTAATGAGAACTTGGCCAAAGGTGAAAGCACATATACTTTGATTTGTTACAGAATAAATAACTTTAATCACTAGATTGGTGATATTAAATTATGGTTACAAAAGCACCAATGAGCACCAAGTTTATCTTCAAAAATGTTGAACAGAATTTTGTTTTTGTCAAACTAATAATAGTTATTTAAAAGGTGGGTGTTGCCCTGACTGAGTGGCTAAGTTGGTTGGAGGTTCAAAAGATTGCAGGTTTAATTCCAAGTCAGAGCACATACCTAGGTTGTGGGTTCAATTCTAGTTGGGGCACGTACAAGAGGCAGCAGATGGATGTTTTTCTCTCATATTGATGTTTCTCTCTCTGCCTTCTTCTGTCTCTAAAGTCAATAAAAATATCCTCAGGTGAAGATGAAATAATCATAATAATGATTGTGGGATATCTTCTGAAGGTGGATTTCAGCACCATATGTTAAACAAATGTCCCTGGCCTTCTGTGGGAGATCATGCCCAACCAGTCTGGTTTGCTTCACAGCAGTTCTTTCAACTTCTTCCTGAGACATGAATAAGAAACAAGTACCAGCTATTCTTGTAAGGCCCCAAACCTCAAAAAACTTCTTGATCTGTGACGATTCAATTAAAAAAAATTAGAAATACACCTTCAGGAATGAATTTGGTTTTAAGTTTAAAATCAATCTAGATTAATCTGCTTTACACTCCCTGGTGACCAGGAAGACAGTCTTCCAGCTCAACAAAGATTGTGTTTGTTGTTAAACTCCAGAAAGGCATGAGTGAGTGAGGCTCTGAGTGAGGTTTTTCCAAACAACAGAAAAATAACTCTATCTTCTTCCTGCTTAGGGCTACCAATCCCTGTTGGGGGGTTGTGGGGAGGCAGTGGGGAATGACAGATGCAATCCCTCCCTGCACAGTCTTTAATCTTAGAGTAAATTAAATATTACCACCCAGTCCCACCTTCACTACCAGGAAAAAAGGTACACTACTGTCATACAGTTGTTCTCAACTGTTTACTCTTTGCTTCTAAAAAGAACCCTGAAACCACATGACATTACAGTCATTTAATTGCAAAGTACAAGATACTAATATCTATATATAGCTTATACATAGTATATATAGCTAGTATCTATATATAAAATCTCTAAGATTTAGGCCTAAATAAATAAATAAATAAAACTATATTAGCAGTTTGGGATCTGAATATATTTAAATAATTATTGATATTCTTACTTGCCCATCAAAATAGCCATTCTTCTTTATTCCTCTTAAATTTGCATAACCCCCATATTTAGCCTAGCATATAACTGCGAAAAGACTACATTTTGCAGCCTATTTTGCTTGTTAGATCATGTGACGAAGGTCTCGCCAATGAGATATAAGAAGTATTGAGTGAGACTTTGGGAAGCCTCCTTGAGCATAGAAAATATGCTTTTCTTTGCCCCTTCCTCTATTCTGCCAGAAACATGGATGAAATGGCTGCAGATGTAGTCAGCTCTGGGGTATGGAAGATAAAGGTTATGAGGGTCATATTTCACCAATGGTAGGGGAATAAAAGAAGCCTGGATCCAAGTAACTCTATCAGGTCCCCTGATGGTCTGCCTCCAGACTTCTTCTATAGAAGAAAGAAGTAAACTTCTATCTTGTTTAAACCACTCATATTTTGGGATATAAATTATATGCAGCTAAATAAAACTCTAAGTGAGGCATACAAATCTTTACATTCTGCTATACTGTGGTAAACCTGCTTCCTAAATGTTTCACTCAACTCCTATCTATTATTTTATTGGTCCCCCAGAGCCTCCTTATTCTCCCTGTCACACTTACTCACATATTCCCCTGAGTTCCAAGCACCAGTAACACCTTCAAGCACCAGTACATAAAACTGAGCTCCTTGTCCCAGATGAATGGTCATTTTAGGGCAGGGGATGAAGAAGAGTTTGTCCATTGTATGGCCAACTTTTGTATAAATTGCTTTTTTGTTCCCTGCTCTCCTAGAATCATCAAAATAGTAGGGCAGATCAGTGTGGGCTAGACTTTTCCGGAAGCACTGTGAGGGGAGGGAAATTGGAAGAAGATATACAGGCTACAGGGACCAGAAGAGGAAATAAGGTGTTCGAAGTTTAGACAGTGGAAGTTTCTACTTCCTGGGTGGGGTCCTTGTTGGAGAGATTGCCTGAAATATTATCATATTCAAGCAACTCCACAATGCTGTAGGGAGAACAGTCCTCCAGACCCAGCTTGCTGCAGAGCCAGCCGCAGAAGCCTTTCTCCATGTCCCGGGCAGCTTGCCACCATGCTCCCCAGGACCACGAGAGCTGAACCACAGCAGCATAGAGGCCCAGGGAAGAGGCCATGGCCATGATGAGCACTGGGTAGAAGAGAATGAGGCAGGGGCAACATGAGATCTTATGCCAGAAGGTCCTCTCCTCATTGTACACAAGGAAGATGTTGTACCAAGTGATAGTGCCATAGTAGAAAGAGACAACGAAGGAGAGGATAAAAACCACAGGCAGGCAGACCAGTGTCCAGAGGACCACATGGGGCCCCTGGTCTGCTGACATCTGGCAGACCTTTCTGCCTTCAGGGGTTGTTTCTTTCAATGACTCTTTAGGCTTGGTCAATTCCTGCAGCTCCTTTTCTGTCAAAGTGACATGGATATCCACCATCTGGCCCTTTTTCTTCCCTCGTGTGATGGTCCCAGTTAATGTGACATAGCGGCTGTCCAAAGGCATGTTCCACATACCTGCAAGGCATAAAAGAGGTGAAGTCAAGATCAGAATAGTGGACATTTCATCACAGTGTTGTGGCTGATGACAACAGTGTCTACTTTTAAAAAAAAATGTTTTATTGATTTTAGAGAGAGGTGGAGGGAGAGGAAGAGAGAGAGAAACATCGACGTGGGAGAGAAACATTAATCAGTTGCCTCCCGTATGTGCCCTGACCAGGGATGGATCCCGCAGTCTAGGTATGTGCCCCAATCGGGAATCGAACCAGCAACCTCCCGGTGCACGGGACAATGCTCCAACCAACCAACTGAGCCATACCGGCCAGGGCTAGTGTCCAGTTTTATAGCATCTGTCATGGCACTGAAGACAGTGATTCAATGGTGGACTGAATTGTTTTTCATGTTCCTTCTCCACTTTCTGGGCCTCAATCTTGATACAATCTCTGTGATTGGAGGAGTGTGAGGAACTTACTACCTACACCACTTTATAGTGATCTTATTTCCGGCTTACAAGTACTGTGAAATATTGCTTATTAGTATCAATACTATGGTTCTCTGAGAGGGGGCCTCCCCACAAGCCTGTGGACATCCCAGCCCTTGTGTCTAAGTTCTGTTCACACACACACACACACACACACCACATACATACATACCACACACACATACATACAACACCACTACCACCACCACCAACAACCAAACAACCATCCTTTGATCACTCTGGAAGTGAGGTTGAAGACACTGAAATAGGGAAGTCCGTGATCCTCGGTATGTGAAATGTATTCTCAAATGAAGGAGGCGGGCACAGTACAAGCTTTAAGTTGGCATGTCCCCAACATCCTGTTTGACTCCTTTCTGGTCAGGGCACATGCCCAGGTTGTGGGCTCAATCTCTGGTAGCGGGTGTGCAAGAGGCACCCGATCAATGTTCCACTCTCACATCAATGTTGCTCTATCTCCCTCTCCCTTCCTCTCTCTAAACATCAATCAAAAATAATTTTTAAAAATCCTTTATTGACTTCCCCTTGAACTTACAATAAATCCTAAACTCTTTACTATGACCTGCAAGGCCCAATGTGATCTGACCCTGCACCTTTCTGACCTCTCACCATTCCTTGTTCTCTACACTCACTAACAGAAAATACTCTATTCCAGAAACAAGCAATGGTGTTCCCACCTTGGGGTCTTTGCCTTTGCTGTTCTCTCTCCTCTAAAAGCTCTGCCCAAGATCTTTTCATTGCTGGTTCCTTCATATCATTCAGATCAGCTCAAACCTCACATCCTCAGAGAGCCCTTGCACATCCATGCAATCTCTCTCTCCCAGTTACTCATATTCCCATCACCGTGATTTATTGTCTTGGAAACTTGAACCATTACCTGAATAATCTTTTATTTGCTGACTTGCTCACTGTCTGTCTTCCTTCCATTAGAAGGTCAACTGCATGAGAGCAGGGATGTTGCTTGTTCACCGTGGGTATATGTTTAGAGATGAATCCATCTACACACATAGATCTACCTCACCCATTTGTTGTTACACAGTGATGCTCAATACAGACATTCCACAACTTGATTAGCAGCAACAAATATGCTTACACATGCTTCCTTATGCACATGGGCATAAATTGCATGGGGTAGATACTGAGAATTTCCAGGACATAAGAATGCATATTTTGAATTTAATAAAAATTGACAATTTTCCCTACATAGTGATTAAAGCGATTCCACTTCCGCTTGAGGTGTATGAGCATATGTACACTTCCTCACATTAATGTTTTTAGATTTTATCCGATTTTTTGCCATCCTAAATGTGAGGGAATACTATAACTCACTGTTGTTATAACTTGCATTTCCCTGATTATTATGAAAGCCAACTATTATTGTTTCTTTATCTTACATGTATTAAGCGATTAGCACAGTATGCTTGTATTACTAAATTTTGTGTATAAATTAATCTCTTTCATTACACTAGAAGTTCCAAAAGGGCGAGATCTCTTCCATATTACCTAGAAGAGAACATAATAAGTACTCAATAAATATTGTTGATTCATTAAATGAAGACTGCAACTTTGTGAGAAGAAATGTATCAACAAGAAGAAATAGGTCAGTGATCAAATAGGTCTGTTTTCTGGAGGATCCTCATTTGGTTTCCTTCCCATGGCTTTAAGCAAGTGGCCCCAGAGAGACTTACCATCATCGGCAGGATAGTCTAGGAAGTCGGCTCCTTCCTCCTCTTTAGGCTGGTCTCCACCTTCTGATTCCCCAGGCTCCTCATCCACTTTCTCACTCTCTGACCGGTAGATGATAATAGATTCTGGGCGGGACTCCTTCCTCTTCTTTTTCCTGCGACCCATTGTGGATTCCCCATCCAGGGCCAGGGCAGCTGCCACGGCCTTCCTCAGAGAGCCATGGTGTGGGCTTGGAAGCTGGCCCTGACTTTCCACTGGTGCCAACTCTTCCATTCTAGTCCTCACGTCTGGTTATTCCTTGTGAAGAGTCCAACTTGCTTGGGCAAATTTACAATCCACACATCCCAGAGCTTCTTCCTGGATGGGGCTATGCAAAGATAGCCCAATGATGAGTGCAACTTGAAAGATAGGAAAGCAGAGCCATCAACAGGGGTGAGCTGAAAAGGAATTTGGGAAATGATCCTCAACTTGGCAAGTCTTCACCTCCTTTTACATTTCATAACACTTTATTTCACTTTACTTCTCATAACACTTTATTTCTGCATTTAAAAAAGAATTTAAATCCATTTTTATTGATTTCAGAGAGAAAGGGAGAGGGAAAGATAGAAACATCAATGATGAGAATCATCCATCACCTGCCTCCTGCAGACCCCCTACAGGGAATTGAGCCTGCAACCTAGGCAAGTGACCTGACCAGGAATTGAACCCTGACCTTCTGGTTCATTGGTCGATGCTCAACCACTGAGCCACACTGGCTGGGCTACTAGTATTTCTGCATTTTTGAGTGCTGCAGAAATACTTTCACAAGGCTGGATTGGAGTGAATAAAATTTTATGTGTTGCAATGATGTCTGTCATTTACAAAAACATATATATTATGTACTAGTAAACCCATCAATCTAGACAAGTATAAGGAAATTGGGTGAGGAAGCCTTACAGACAAACGGGAGTTAAGAACCTTTCTTACTCCTACCATAGATGGAGATTCAGATGGCTGCAACATTGGTTGCAATGCTCCAGGCTTCTGGCTATCGAGTCATACATTACAAGCATACTCAAATGGATGAATGCAACTTTCAGTGAGGCACCCAAAGATGGCACAACTTCACAACCACATATACCCTACTGGTCTACAGAGCACACCTCTTTCCTGGCTTCTTGTTGGCCCAAGATCCCAGAAAGTTCCTGGGATCTGCCCTACCACATGCTGGGAAACCAGTGGAGAGGACGCACACTTTTCACTCTTAACAGTCTTCCTTCTTCCTCTTTTGTTTGTTTGCTTACAAGGTAAAGAGAGTTTGTGGGTGGATTGTAAAATTTTAGAAATCAGGAACAGTCTTACACTTCCTCATGTCCAGTGGAAAGACCCCAGGACTCATGTAGTGGATGCTTAGGGCATACTTGTTGACCTCATAGGACAGAGGAGAAGGGAAAATATCTACTTAAAAATAAGATAAGAGAAACTGTTAAGAGAGAAAGGCTTAATTATCTCCCCATTTTTATACGCTTTATTATGCTGTTAGTGTTTTATCTGGGAACTAGCTTCTGAACACTTCTCCTTCCTTTTAGATTCCATAAGATGGAGGGTAAAAAGAATTTGCTCAGTTTCCAAGACTTTCATCTACAGAATTAAGAGAAGAGAAAGGACTGCTCTTTTCCCTGGAAGTTGGGCTTCACCCGTCCTCCACCTCCATTCCCAGTCTGAAGATGGTCAGTGAATGTGATGCTGTACAGTGTGACCTTCAATAAATCATTAGCTCTGGATTCTCAGTCATCCTAGGGCAGCGGTTCTCAACCTGTGGGTCGCGACCCCTTTGGGGGTCGAACGACCCTTTCACAGGGGTCACCTAAGACCATCGGAAAACACATATATAATTACATATTGTTTTTGTGATTAATCACTATGCTTTAATTATGTTCAACTTGTAACAATGAAATTGGAGTCACCACAACATGAGGAACTGTATTAAAGGGTTGTGGCATTAGGAAGGTTGAGAACCACTGTACTAGGGGGTAAATAGGTTTTAAAGAACATGCTCAGACTCTAAAACTCAAGCTTAAAATAACTGGTTTTAAGCATTCTTGAAGCCACTTTCCATAAATTTTAACTTCATCTACAGTTGTCTTCTTTTTTTTTTAAATGATTTAATTGACTTTTACAGAGAGGAAGGGAGAGAGATAGAGAGTTAGAAACATCGATGAGAGAGAAACATCGATCAGCCGCCTCCTGCACACTCCCCACTGGGGATGTGCCCGCAACCCAGGTACATGCCCTTGACCGGAATCGAACCTGGGACCTTTCAGTCCCCAGGCTGACGCTCTATCCACTGAGCCAAACCGGTTTCGGCAACCATTTTTCCCATACCCATTGTTATACCACTTTGGTCTACTAGCCATCATCTCTTATCTATGGTTCTAAAACATGTTCCTTATCTTCTGGCTTCTACTCCTGCTGTCTTCCAATCAATTCTCCACTCAGTAGTTAGAAAGATCTTCTGAAAGCATTAATACAATCACCATCAAGTTCACATAAAGCTTAAAACCCTCCAGGTACTCTCTACTGTTAAAAAAAGAAATCCACATGGCCTAAGGACCTGCATGACCCACCCTCTTCCAGTCCTGCTTCTCTATGTTCTACCACTTTTTTCATCTATGTCTCCAATGCTTGATCACACTGGCTGCCCATTATTCTTCAAGAGCACCAACTGCTTTCCCTCTTGAAGTCTTTTTTAAAAAAAAAATATTTTTATTGATTTCAGAGAGGAAAGGTGAGGGAGAGAGAGATAGAAACATCAATGATGAGAGAGAATCATTGATCAGCTGCTTTCTGCATACCCCACGCTGGGGATCAAGCCTGCAACCTGGGCATGTGCCCTGACCAGCAATTGAACTGTGACCTCCTGGTTCTTAGATTGACGCTCAAACACTGAGCCACACCAGCTGGGCCCTCTTGAAGTTTTCTTAAATGCTATCTACCACAGGGCTGGTATGCTGAGCCACCCCTGGCCCTTCACATGGCCATAGCCTTTATATCCCCCACAGCTTTCCTGACACCAAACCTAAAATAGGCCCCTGCTCTGCCTTTCATTATTCCTTTTCATTATAGCCTATTTCTTGTATAAGACATCAACATTTGTAATTAAGTCTTATTTGTTATTTTACTTGTTTGTTGTCTATCTCCTCTACTAGACTATAAGTTCATACAATTAGGCCAATAAGTAGGTTTTCAACAAAATATTTTAAGTGACTGTATTAATAATTTGGGGGTGGGGGGGTTGACATGGTAGCAATTAAGGATTAGCCTGATTTTGTCAAAGACCAAGATTAAGGAAAAGTTTAATAAAGAGACATTAATAAGCTCTTTTATGCCTAATAAGCTCAATTATGGTACAATTGTTAAGTGCTACATCTCTATCTATTTTCTTCTTTAATAATGGAGGTTTTTAGCTGATCACATGACTTCCCTGGTAAAGATAATATTTCCCAGCATTCCTCAAATATAAGTGTGATCATGAATAATCTTTGGCCAATGGGATGTGATATGTGCAACTTCCACATCTGCACCTCTCCTCTTTTTACTTTCTTGAGGGCTGAAATGTGAACTTGGTGAGTCATCTTCAGCCATACAGACAAGGGAAAACCTGTAGGGATGGCACAGGAATGAGGAAGAAGGATTAAAAGCCACCCTCTTCCTCTGGACTGTAATATGAGAAAAAATGTATTTATTTTGTTTCAATCCAGGGTTATTTTGGCATCTTGAGGCAGCCACACAGAAATCTTAACCAATCCACTGGGATTGCCCACGGTTATTTTATGTCCCAACCCCTCTGCTGTGTTCCAAGTTATCAGCCCTGGGGCATAAGCAGATTTTGATATGCATCTTAGAGTTAGATCATAAAATGGCATCACCCATTTTATGGTTCAAGCAGTTTTGATTCTTCTGGGTGGGCCAGGAATTCTGAATCTCAGCAGGCCAATACAAAGGATACTACATTGATGCTGGCTTAAGCCCCACCAGGAACCCACTGGAGAGCTCAATACACTGTATGATACTGTTATGGAATGAATACTTGAATCCCTCTAAAATTCCTATGTTAAAATTTTAACCTCCAATGTGATGGTATTAGGAAGTGGAGTCATTGGGAGGTGATTAGGTTATCAGGGTGCACCACTCATGAATGAGATTAGTGCACTTATGAAAGAGACTCCGGAGAGTTTTCTTGCTCTGTCATGTGAGGTCAGAGCAAGAAGCTGGACACCTATGAATCAGGAAGATGTCTATTAACCAGGCTCTCACCAGACACTGGATATGCCAACACCTTGATCTTGGACCCCCAACCTTCAGACTATGAGAAAAAAAATTCTTTAAGCTATCCGTACTTTTATTATAGCAGCCTGCACAGATTGAGACAGAGACTATTCTCTGCTTGTAATGAGCTGGCCAACAGTGCTTTCACGAAGAAATGCAGGTCCATTTGGCATGGGTTGCCTGAAATTTCATTTGAAAAATCCTGAGTTTAATTGGTGCAATTAGTTCAAATTTGTAGGGAGCGGCTATAGCAGTGGTTCTCAACCTTCCTAATGACGCAACCCTTTAATACAGTTCCTCATGCTGTGGTGACCCCCAACCATAAAATTATTTTCATTGCTACTTCATAACTGTAATTTTGCTACTGTTATGAATCGTAATGTACATATCTGATATGCAGGATGTATTTTCATGGTTATAAATTGAACATAATTAAAGCATAGTGATTAATCACAAAAACAATATGTAATTATATATTCAATATGTTTTTTCTGATGGTCTTAGGCGACCCCTGTGAAAGGGTCGTTCGACCCTCAAAGGGTCGCGACCCACAGGTTGAGAACCGCTGGGCTATAGGGTTAAGCCTCCGACTGACCGGTTGGCAAAGCCACACACAAGTCCCACTTTAGAGGGCACAGCACTCTTAGCATAATTAGGCTTGACCTTATGGTGCTCCCTAGGTCTTATCTGGGCAGCCAATTGACTGTGGGAAGTGCAGCAAGTGCTGCCAAAACAAGTGAAACTCACAAGAACATTGTAACTATGGTGAGCACTACCTTATTTACCTCTGGCTATAAAATAAAGGCTCAGCTTGCTATCTAGGTCTCTCTCTGTGGCCTTAGCCAGGCACAGGAGATCCACCTAGACCCAGCTTATTCTCTTTGTCTGCCTTTTCTACATCCTTCGCCGCCCCCCTCAGACTCACTGAACCCTTGGCTGTGCTGGCACGGCACACAAACTTAAATAAAGTGCCAAGAGGACAACCAACCAAAACAAAACACAAATGGGCTGTCACTTTGTCACCTCTGGCTTATAACACTTCCAAATCAGGGTGGCCTGCTCCAATGGTTTAAGAACAATTAGGAGTTAACTTTTTGCACTTTGACCCACCTGGACACATCTCCTTCTTTCAGAGAACTTGAACTGGGGCTGGGTGGGTAGGGTAGCATCATTTTCAAGTTAATTTACCATTACAGTGAACTGTCTTGCTCCAGCCTGCTATTCTTTCAATTCTTCTGATTTGTGTATGTGTCACCCAAAGGGCCACATATTACCTGTCTGGGGTGGTCAGACTCTCCCAATAGCATCTTGATTCACCACCTTTAGATATACTAGGCCAACCAGGAAATAAATCTTATCATTTTACCACTGAAAATTACCATTAGCCTCTCTCAGGGAGGTAGTCTCACCAATGTAAAAATGAAAGGGAATTTGGCTGATGGAACAGCAGCCTCCAGTCAGTTGCTGTGAATTGGCCGTGAGCACAGTATAGCCTGTTCCTTTGTGGTCCCGTGATAGTATTTATCTTGTCATTGCCAACCTACCTGGTTCTGAAAGGTTCTCACACTGAGACAGGTTCATTACTGAGGGATGATCTGACCATCTACAGAGGAAACCGTTCCTGGCAGCAAAGGTAGTTGGTTACAAGGAGCTGGAGCGTGTTCTTATTGTAAGATCTGATCTTCACTATCTGACCTTCTGTTTGCTTATTTCTTACTTCTCATGGCACACGTAGCCTTTCCACCTCCCATTCCTGCTCCAAACATGCATACATGCTAGAATATAACTCTACCAAGGCAGGGACACCTAAGTGTCTTGTCCTCTGTACTGTAGAGAACAGTCCTTGGCACATGGCAGGTGCTCAGTAAATATTGACTGAATGTTGTGAATTGGTTAAGAGTTTTATTTATGTACATCGGGCTCTTACTTCAAGGTGGGATGGAGCTAGAGGCCTCATTGACATTCCTTCTGCGTGGAGAGTCTGTGAGTCTGAATGTTGAGAATCCCACAGGGCCCTGTCAGTCTGAGCCAGCAGCTGCTTTGCAGAAGGGGGAAAGTGAAGTTACCATGCAGATGGGGCGGGGGAGGGGCGGCGAGCTGGGTGAGGAAGAATCTCAGAAGATGAAGGGAGTCAGTGCTAATGGGGTTTGACAGGGTGGGAGTGTGGAAGGGTCAGGGCCTTGACGATGCTTTGTCCCCAGGACAAAGCGGGTAGTGATGCAGAGTGCAGGGAAGGGCGGCACTTGATTCACCAGAGGAGCAGTCAGTGCAGCATGGTGTGGCTGCCTGAGGCGAGGTGGCTCCATCAGGGGCCAGAGTTGAAATCGGGAAACAAAAAGCCTCTGAGCGGCAGGACTACCACTGGGCCGTCAGGCCTTATGGGGTTAGACTCTCAAACCCTGGTGAGGTCAGAGGCAGAGGAGACATGCCTCTTTATTTTTAATAAAAGACCTCTCAGAGAGACCCCATCTCTCTTCACCACGGGCTCTCTTTGGACTGTGGAAAATAACTTTCTGACTGCTCATGCTACAACTTCCTTGCTGCTCAGGACTCGCTCCTGTCATCCTCGGCAGTCAACACTGGCTTGAAGCCAGTCCAGCCAGCTTTTCACTGGAGGACCACAGAGCCCCTCTCTCAGTCCACTCTGCCACCACACAGGGCTGTGGTGCAGCCAGGCTCACACTGACCCGCCCATGCAGAGCTCCATGAAGCCATAGGTCAGTGGTTCTCAACCTTGGCTGCACATTAGAATCACCTGGGAATCTTTTGAAAATCCTGATTTCTGGGCCTCATCCTCTGGAAATTCTGTTTCTTTGTTACTAGTGTTGTGGCCTCAGCCCATAACAAAGAAACAGAATTTCCGGAGGATGAGGCCCAGAAATCAGGATTTTAAAAATATTCCCAGCCAAAACCGGTTTGGTTCAGTGGATAGAGCGTCAGCCTGCGGACTGAAAGGTCCCAGGTTCGATTCCGGTCAGGGCCATGTACCTTGGTTGCGGACACATCCCCAGTGGGAGATGTGCAGGAGGCAGTTGATTGATGTTTCTCTCTCATCGATGTTTCTAACTCTCTATCCCTCTCCCTTCCTCTCTGTAAGAAATCAATAAAATATATTAAAAAAAAAAAAAAGATTCCCAGGTGATTCTAATGTGCAGCCAAGGTTGAGAACCACTGCCATAGGTGCAGCCCAGTCACAAACCACACAAAATTATCATCATCTATATATATTTAAAAGACCAATATGCAAAGTGTCCCCTCAGGAGTTCGACTGGGAGATCAAGAGTTCTATCACTCACTATGATGCGTACTGAACATCAGGGGGCAGTGCAGAATGAAGGAAGGCCCTGGCCGACAGCCGGAAGGCCCCATCGGCCCTGATTGCCAGCCAGGCATAGGGACCCTACCTGTGCATGAATTTCGTGCACTGGGCCTCTAGTATCTTCATAAAGTTATTCTTAAAAGAAACTTCAAGTACTCCTTGTGAAGAAAGAAAGCCTGGAATTTTCTGGAATAAAAGAAATTCCTCAGAACCAAGTCAATATTTCTCTTCCTGTTAAAAAGATTTCTTTTGTTGTTGGGATTAAAGCATCAGGAATTAATTTTTCTGCAATAAAACTTTGAACTTTACTATATAAATTTAATTCTTTGTTGTGGAGGTGACAGTGTCATTCTTAAAAATTTGGTCATTACCACATACCTGACTTAATAGATGTGATTCCTAGGTAAACTCTCTAGCAAATGGAAAGAGGAAGAGCTTTCCTCCCTTTGGTAAAGAGTGTAGATTGGAATCTGTCAGCAACGAAGATTGAGGGGCAAGTGTGTCTTAAAGGAGGTGGGAGAAGGCAGGGGATGGAGGAAGAGGAAGGAAGATGTCTGATTGCACTCTCAATCATTTCCAGTTTGCTTTGTGAAAAGGTGCTGGGCCCAACCAAGGAATAATGGTATTTGTTTGCTTTTACATGCTTTTAATGCCCCGCAGAGGAAAATACAGCATTCTGATAACAGACTTAGAAATAGCATCCTGCCTGGATTGTTAAGACACAGCACCTGGCACAACCCCTGGATCTGCCAACTTCTTAGGCAAAGTCTCACCGGGCCAGTCCAGGTGTGATCTCACTCTGGTGGGTTGACTGAACCATGCCAGATGAACAATAAGAAGGAGAATCTGAATAATGAATCCCTAGGACTGGGAACCCAAACACGGATGAGAAATTTCCCCCATCCTCAGCAGGCTCGCTCCCCTGCATAAGGAATGAGCTGGAGGATAGGTTCTCAAACACACACCTGCAGACGCGTTCTTGCAGCAAGCATGCACCCTTCAAGGACTCATGGGTTTACGCTGAAATGGATCAGATCTCGAATCTGGTAAAGGTTGCTTCTTCCTTTCATTCCTGAGAGGGAGATGAGGTGGAGATGGGCTCGAGTTAATTTTTAAATCATTTTCTTGCGTCTGCGGATAACTGCACCGGGGCCCTCCTCCCCGCACCGCTACTACCCTCCCCGGGGTCCCTTCCGGAGGATGAAAGGATCTGGAAGCGGGTTTCTTCCCCTCAGCTGGGCCAGCCCCTTCTCTTCCCAGCCAGCCGCACACAGCATCTGGGGCCACGCCGCAGCCTCTCTTTGCCCAGATGCCCTGGAGATTTAATTTTAATTAACCGTGAGAGCTACAGCACTGAGGACTGCATTTTTCAAATACAGCACACTCCCGCCTTTTGTCTGCTTCCCTTCTGCCATCCACCCCCAACACCTCCCGTGGCATCGAAATAAAAAACAAACAAAAACAAACAAACAAACACAAACGAGATGTCTCACCTACACCTGCCAGGGGCAGAGACAGGCAGAGGACGCCGCGCTCGGGAAGCCGCCGCCTGGGAGCGGTCTTTCCGCAGCTGCGGCAGCGGGCGGGGCGGGGCGGGGCCCTGGCGGTCACGTGGGCTCTTAGCCCTGCCCACGTCCAAGGTCCAGGGGACTCATCAACCCGAATTGGCTTTCCCTGGAAGCGCTCAGACGCTCCGCAGTCTAGGGGATGTGGGCTCCGGGCAAGAGCTGCCTGGCGGCCGGCTTGCTGCAGAATCAAGTGGCTATCGTCACCGGCGGGGGCACGGGCATCGGAAAGGCCATCGCGACCGAGCTGCTGAAGTTGGGTACGTAAGTAGGCCCCGGGGTCGGGACCCGGAGCACGGAGTCCGTGGAGACGCCGGCTGACATGGCTGGCATACCCTGGGGCCGGGGGCCAGGGAGCGCTAGGCCCGGTTGCGTAATTGAAACCGCTCTGGGCCCCAAGTAGGGAATAAGGAGACCTGCTATGGAATTAGTCATGGAAAACGAATCCTTCTCTCTATAGACTGCCTCATGAGGGGTTAGGACACAGGGGGACTTCATTTAACTTGAAAAGTTTGCAACATTGAGAGGCTCCCATCAAATGAGCTTTCATAACATTTACTGTAATGAAAGGGGGACTTCGTTGGTTTTTATTTTATTTTATTATTTAATTTTGCTAATCCTCACTCAAGGAAATTTTTCGCCCTTGGAAATGTTAGGAAGAGTGGAAGGGAGAGGGAGAGACAGAGAAACATCGAGGTGAGAGAGACAAATTGAGTGTCTGCCTCCTGCCAGGGCTCCAACCAGGGCTGGGGATGGAGCCTGCAATGGAGGTAGGTGCCCTTGACTGGGATAGACCCTGGGATCCTTCAGTCCACTGGCGGAATTCACTGAGCCAGACTGGCTAGGGTTGAAGGGAGGCTTTGTCAGCACATGAACAAGGAAGGAAGGGAAGCCACGAAGGAGAAAATTGATAAATTTATCCACATGAAAAGGTAAATCGTCATTGAAAAACAATGTAAGGGAATATTAAAGGCACATGAAGAAAAATGTTTACAATATACAACAAATGTATGATAGAAAGAGCTCTCACAAATACATAAGGAGAAGATCGAACACACTGCTAGAAAAACTGGCTAATGATATGGACCAGGTGAACCAAATGGAGGCAGGATAGGGGGAAGCCACCACACAGGGGCACAGGGGCTGTGGTGCAGCCGGGGGCACACTGACCCACCCAGGCAAAGCTCCATGAAGCCACGGGTGCAACCCAGTCACAAACCACATGAAATTATATCTTCATAAAATTATCCTTAAAAGAAACTTCAAGTGTTCCTTGTGAAGAAAGAGAGTCTGGAGTTTTCTGGAATAAAAGAAACTCAGAACGGAGTCAGTATTTCCCTGGCCAGTAGAATGGGGAAACTGAGACAGATAGCTGAACAAACCGGCTGAGCAATTCACAGCCAGATACGGAAAGTCACCTCCTTAGAGATAACATCTAGGCCTCAGTTGTATTGCAGCTCCAGGCCCAGAAAAGCAGCAAAATCAGGTGGGCAATGCCAAGACCAGGAGCAATGACTGAGGACCCCCTGCCCTGGCACTGACCAATCAGTAGAGACCATGACCCTAAAAGAACACACCTGGAAAACTGATGAATATTCTGCTGAAACCCTCCCCTGAGGCCTCCCCTATGACTCTGGCCAGAAAGAGAGAGAAAAGCCTCAAGACAACCCTAGCTGGTTTGGCTCAGTGGATAGAGCACATGGGCCCTGGTCGGGGTGCATGCAGGAGGCAACCAATTGATGTGTTTCTCTCACATTGATGTTTCTCTAGCTCTGTCTCTTTACCTCCCTTCCATTCTCTCTAAAAATCAATGGAAAAATATTCTCAGGTGAGGATTAATTTAAAAAAAAAATGCTCAAGACAAAGGACCCAGGGTGAGCTCTCCCTCAGAGGAGCATGTCCATGCCATTTCCTTCCTTCTCCTCTTCCCCCATTTAAACTCTAAGTGACCCCAGGAGACTTGCAACCAGGGGACAATGGACAGTGGCAACATGTCCCAGGCTAACCCTCTGAACTTGTCTCCAAGGCCCCCTTTTCTCCTCCTTGCCACTGAGCTAAGGCAGCCCAGTCTGGGCTCTCCTGCTGCTGCTTCGATCCTAAATCCTTCATTGTTTCACTGTTTCCAGCTTTAATAAACCTACCCTCATAGTCACTTGGACTCATATTGTGAAATCTTTCCTCCACGAAGTCAAGAACCCACACACTACCAGCCCTGCCTGGGCAGACCCGCTCAGGACCAGGTCCTAGTCCAGCCATGAAGAACTTTAAATAGGCAATAAGTACATGAGCAATAATCAATTTTATTGGTAATAAAATGCAAAATAAGATCACATTGCTATTCTAAAAAAATTTTTAAACATTGAAGAAAAGAAAATGATGGAGTGAAAAGGCTGGCAAGAATGTAAATTATTAGAAACTTCCTAAAGGACAATTTGAAAAAAAGAATCCAGAAGCTTTAACAATATCCATGCTGTATGACCTGGTAACTTCTCTCTTAGGGATTTACCTTAAGAAAATTATCAGAGACAAGCACAGATTTATGTACAAAGAAGTAGTGGTGAGTAGGGAAACATTGGTAATCTAAATATTTATTATAAGAGAAATAGGTAAATCAAAAACAATGAAATTCTATGTTGCTATTTAAACATCTTGCTATTGAAGACTTTATGTAGAGAAATGCATACCTTCTAATTGAAAAAAATGGCAGGATTCTAAACAAAATATAACATTTTGATTTGTTAATGAAAAATACAGTATATATGCCAAAAAAGACTGGAAGTTTACAGCATTGTTAACAGCAACTATTTTTTCTGGAAATAATTTGAATTATAGGGGATTAAAATGTCATCATTTTTTTTTTAATCCTTGCCCAAGGATATGCTTATTGATTTTTTTTTGGGGGGGGGGGGAGGGAGAGAGAGAAAGAGAGAGAAAAAGAGAAAAGCATCAATGTGGAAAACATTTGATTCCTAGTCAGGGAGTGTATGGGAGGCAACCAATGGATATTTCTCTGACATTGATATTTCTCTCTCTCTCTCTCTCTCTCTCTCTCTCTCTCTCCCCACTCTCATCAATAAGGATGTCCTCTGGTGAGGATTAAAAAAACACACGTAAGAGTTGGAATACAAAAAGCAGGAGATGAAACTAACAAGTGGCTCAAATGTTCAATTATTGAAATCAGCCAAGAACTCTAATACAGAGGAGCCTGAGTGAGGGGAGGTGACCTGTGGCTGATACTGTATTTATTTGAGGTAGCCTTCTTTGAATTGGATGCCTTGACAATCTTAAATTAGGCATTTACATTACAAAACAAAGAAACAAGCAAAAGCCCGTGGGGTTTACACCAAGGCTATTACTAACACCAGGGAATTTAGCGTCAGCCCAAGTAGGAAAGCAAATGCCTAATGTAGAAATAACTCCTTATCTACAAGTTAGTTCTGTATCTTATATCTAAACAAGTTTATCAAGCTTTCTGGATTTCTCTAGCTACTCATAAACAAACAAAAAATGTTTATTCAAATTATTTAGTGTAGGATTTGGAGAAGAATTATATCTAATACATTTCTAGTTTATTATAAGGTAATATAAGTACACTGTAATAAATTCAAGTAGTATTGAAGTATAGAAAAGAAGAAAATCAGTTTTCCCATTTTGCTCTTATTCTAAATCTCCTTCTTGGAGATTTTCTATGAGTCCACCCAAATGCCCACATATACACACACGTGTATATTATGTTACTTTCAAAACTGGGACCACAGTATTTCTACTTCTCTGTAACTGTTTTCATTCCAGGCTAGTACATAACGGTAGTATCTCATTCTTTTCAAAGTTATGTCATATTCCATAGAATGGGTGTTCAATAATTTATTTAACCATTCCTTTAATGGAAATTTGGATTTCTAGTGTTTTGCCCAGCATTGCATTTTTTTTCTTCTTGTAATACCTTTGCACACTAGTTCAAGTTTTGATACCAAACTCAGGTTTGGCTGCCTGCTGCTTGAAAGCCAATACTCTAGAGACAGGCGCTGATGGAAGGAAAGCAGGTTTATTCAAGAGCCAGCACCTTGAAGAGGTGGGGAACTCTCATCACAAAGCCCATCTTAGCATCTCGGTGCAGGCAGAGGTTTTTATGGACAGGGAAGGGGAAGGCAGAACAAAGGTGACCAGAGGGGTTGTGGGGTCTCTTTGAAGGTGTTATGTGCCAGTTGGCACAGTCTGCTCCAATAATGATTTCGGAGCCAGTCAAATGATCATCTGGAAGGTAAACAAATCTGGAGCCAAAATGCCGGAAGCCTGGATTTAGCTTCCTTTGAGGTTGAATCCTTTAAGCAAACAGGCAGTTTATAAGTGGCCACCTGTGAATTTACAAGTCATCATTTAAAGAAACAATGTTAAAAGAATGGTGGGGTGGGTTACGGTTTGTGTGTAGTGACAAGTTCTATCAGTTAAAGTAAATAGTCTTTTAAAGTTGTGTTTCAGTAGAACTCTATTTGTATTGCATAACTTTGCTGAAGCATTCAGGGCTCAGGTAATAGTATTAATTTAGAAAATGTTTGACTTGATAATTTATGTGAAAAATCCTACTTATATTTTCACTGTATGTCTTTTTTTGTTGTTTTTTTTGTTGTTGTTAATCCTCACTCGAGGATATTTTTCCATTGATTTTTAGGGAGAGTGGAAGAAAGAGAGAAAGATAGAAACATCAATGTAAGAGAAACACATCGATTGGTTGCCTCCTGCACAAGGCCCCTACTAAGGCCCGGGCCAGGGAGGAGCCTGCAACCCAGGTACGTGCCCTCGACCAGAATTGAACCCACGACCCTTTGGTATGCAGGCCAACACTCTATCCACTGGGCCAAACCAGCTAGGGCTCACTGTATGTCTTTTTTGAGGCCTTGGACAAAGTCAGGCATTAATCACTTTAGTATCCTGAGTTATTGTTGTTTTGTTGTTGCTGTGTGTTTTTTTTGTTTTTTTGTTTGTTTTAAAGATGCTCAGTTTCTTAGTATG